GTTATGGCTGTCCATGGATGAATGCGCACAACGACGAAAAAAAGAAATGTTTCGTCTTTTCTTTTTTTTTTTGTCATTGATTTCGAAAGCATTTACTAATATGTTGCTTCCTATATAGAAACTACCTTGAGTCGACGGGTATGCCTGACACAAGAAAAAAGAGAAGAGGGGGAGAGAGGGAGAGAGAGAGAGTGAAACCTGTATTGCCCACGTCTAGAAGAAGAGTATATTCGGAGAGAACACCGAGCTTTTTCTCCTTCGTATAGATAGGTTGATAGTATGAAAACAAACTTATTTTTTTTTCGTACATGGTCCCTTTTTCTTCTCTTCTCTCTCTTGTCTTCTCTAGTCGAACTTCGTTTATATGTTAGAGAGAGAACTATGTATACGAAAACAGGGAGAAAGTAAACAAATCTGATCTTCACAATTAAATAATATTGTTGAAATAACTTTTATTTTCGAATATATATTTTCTTATTTTTTCTTTTTATTATTATAGATAATAGAGGGTGTATAGGTTGAACACTCAATAATGGCCAATCCTCTAGTCGCTGCGCTCGGTCCAGTAGGTGGTCTTGCAGCATGTGCTTGCTGCTTAATTATTGCTGCTATTTGGGGTCTTTTCGCCACCATGATTGCATTGGCAGTATATACTAGTAAGATATTTATTTGATTTTTTTTATTATTTAAAATTTTCTTTTGTCATTTTGTAGAAGAATGGCGAGATGCCATCCGAAGAGCCAATAACATAAGTGGTGCTGGAGATGTACAGATGTTCTTTAGCCATGCTCTACTCCTCTGCATCCTCTGCATATATGGTTATGTTGGACTTCGACGAGCAATCCGCTCAGCTAATTAAAACTAAATATTATAAATAATTGTTAAAAGCGAATATAAAAGTGATATCAAAATAATAATATTAACACCCTTTTTTAAAACATCTAAAACACCACGATTATAAACAATAAAAAAAATACTTTCATATATGATGATGATGTGCTTCAATTTTATTTCAAAATTTTTTTTTTCTTCACTTGTTTTTTTCCTTTTTTGCATTTTTTCTAAACCACCCGTTGTGTAAAAACATGCCAATATATTTATTCAAAACAACAATATATCTTCTTTTTTTCTAACACAAAGACAAAATATTTATATCAGATGCTCATAATAC